CTGGCAAAGAAGAAGGATTTGGAAATTATCAGATAACAGACTTACCAACTGTGTAAAAAGTCAATGACTGCAAAAGAAAGCAAGGTATGTACAGCCATGAAAAGGGGCACATACTAAAGAAAATATAATTAGACCTATTTATAGATCAATGGTGAGAAACCACTTTGAATATGCCATTTAGTTTTAGACACCAGTTTTCATAAAGGTACTAAGTTAGTTGAAAAGAATAGAGGGATGAGTAGAAAGTTAATTATGGGAAATAAAATATTTTTTTTAGAAAGAAAGCATAGAAAAGTTGCAGTTGTCTGTGCTAGAACAGAGGCATCTTAAAAAAAGATGTCATAACATTATGCACATATATAGAGGGATAATAAAAAGCTCTCTGGTAGCCAGTTAAGTAACACGCCTGAGCAAAAGATACAGGGTCGGTCATCCTCTGAGACACAGAAAGGAGATTTCAAATACAGCAAAGGAAAGTTCTACTTACAGTCAGAACAATAAAGATATGGAATTCATTGGCATTGGTGTATTTTTTACAAACGAGCAAAAAAGAGCTGCTTAATATATATGAACATAAATAATAATAAAATATTAGGTGTACATTTTAACATATTTAACATGCATTACAATCTATTGTTTGTTATTTATTCGTGCACAGAAGTACTTTATGGGTATGGAGAAAGGTAATAGGGAGGAGTCGGGCAACTATAGGCCAGTAAGCCTTACTTCAGTAGTGGGGAAAGTGATGGAAACCATGTTAAAGGATAGGATTGCTGAACATCTAAAAACACATGGATTTCAAGACCAGAGATAACATGGGTTTACTTCAGGGAGATCATGCCAAACTAATCTTATTGATTTTTTTGATTGGGTAACTAAAATTATAGATCAGGGTGGTGCAGTAGACATTGCTTACCTAGATTTCAGTAAGGCTTTTGACACTGTTCCACATAAAAGGCTTATCAATAAACTGCAATCTTTAAGTTTGGATTCCAATATTGTTGAATGGGTAAGGCAGTGGCTGAGTGACAGGCAACAGAGGGTTGAAGTTAATGGAATATATTCGAAGCTTGGACTTGTCACCAGTGGGGTACCTCAGGGATCTGTACTTGGACCCATTCTCTTTAATATTTTTATTAGTGATATTTCAGAAGGTCTTGATGGTAG